TTCTGGATCTTTTCATCTCCATATTTAATGTTTCTTCTTCTTCTTCTTCTTCTTCTTCTTCTTCTTCTTCTTCTTCTTCTTCTTCTTCTTCTTCTTCCTCCTCCTCTTTTCTTTCTTTCTCCTCCTCCTCTTCTGCCTTTTACTTTCCCTATGACACCTAAACAATAATTTGATGCTATTACTATCTAACTTACTAATAAGATCTCTAGTTGTGTCATTGGCTTCATATGTGGAAATTTTCTTGTCATTGCATTTCGATGTCATAGACTCTCATCTGTTTTGTGCATGTCTTCACTCAGAATTATGTTCTCTTTAATTTTCCTTTTTTCTTTTCTTTTCTCCTTCTTTTTTATTTTTATTTTTATTTTTTGAGACAAGGTTTCCTCTGCAGACCAGGCCTCTATCTCAGAGATCTACTTGCTTCTGTCACCCAAGTGCTGGAATTCTATTCATTGTGGTACTTTTTATTATGTATTCTCTAACTCAGTTATATTCACTTTAAAGTAGTCTTACATTCTGTTATGGCTTAGTTTTATATTCATGACATTTATTTCCTCTTATTTGTGGTTATTTTACTTTGTCTTGGTGACTATATATACACATACACATACATATATGTACGTATTTACATTTTCATTTGAGAATTCATATTAAACAGTGTTTTTCTTTTTAAGGCCAATTTTCAACCTTTCTATGCCATGCTTAATACATTTGTAATTTCAAGAAGGGCAAACTCCAAATCTTAAATTTAATATTTACTCAACCTCAGTATAAGAATTACACATGACTGAAGAAAATATACCACTATTTTCAAATGTTTGATGATCTTTCTTTATCTTCCAAAGGAAGAATGGTTTCACAGTTTGGTTTCTTCCCACAGAAAATAGCTAGGCAATTCTTCAAGTAAGTAACACTTTTGCTATATCGTTTCGGGGATCAGTACAAGTGGGTATAGTTTCAATTCTTTATTTGAAAAAATTGGAAGAATTCAAATGGCAACCACAGAGAAGTGGGAAAAAAATGAAAATATCCACTTTAGATGAGGCAGGGGGAGGAAGACCAACAAGCCTCGTTTGCATACGGGCTCTCAGCAGTCTATATCACTCCAGCTCTGTGTTCATGTTTGAACACACATGGGCAAGCGTGTTGCTTCTCATCTTACTTTCTCCAAGTCCTTCTCATATTGTTTGCTTTGATTATTTCACACTTTTGTTTATTATTATATAATTTTACCACACACACACACACACACTTAGTAAATGAACGGGTAAATTAGTTAGCATGAAGCCTTTATATTAAACACAAAAATATTCACCAGATATCCCCTAAGCTGTTTGTAATATTTTATTATTTAATTAATAATGCACACTAAGCTTTATTCTATAAAACAGGAAGAAAAGTAGATCCCACTCAGCTTTTACAAAATTCTGAAGTCTTGTATTTTTATCTCTACCCGTCTTAAATATTTGTGTATGTAGTTAGGTAAAATAGTCTCATGGATAACAAATTGCCTTATAGACAGTTATTACATTTCATCTTTTCCTGCTTTACCTAAACCACTGAATCTTTCCTTTGGTTTTTATTTGCTTGTGCTAGCTTTTCTTATCTTCACACAAATGTCAAACAAAAGAAGAGAACAATATAATTTTATAGGTTAAATATGTCTTGATATCTCAAAGGCAATTCTCCCAAATCTCCAAATCTCTTCTAGTTTGTTTTTTGTTTTTGTTTTTGTTTTTTTGGTTTTTTTTTTGTATTTTTGTTTGTTTGGTTTGTTTTTTTGTTTTATTTATTTGTTTATTTTTGCATTGGCTTGTTCTGACCCCTTATCCTTCTCCTCTTGCACTTGAATTGAACCTAATGCTAAATTTCCCTTTGATTACAAGGATTTTTATTCAAATTCTTTGTATTTTTTAAACCTAGATAAAATATTACAGTTTTGAGTTCTCATACTTCTTTATTTTCTTCAGATTTTACAGGTCATTTTGTGACTTTAAAAGTTATTGTAATACACTCATTTTTCTTTTGTTTCTTTGTTGTTGTCTGTTTAAAGAAATACCAAAAATGCATGTTAATGTTCTTTTTAATTACCTTTACTTTCAATCGGATGCTAATCTTTAAGGGCCTTCTATTGTTTTTCTAAGAGGTTCAGCAGAGGGAGATAGAAGAATGTCAATGTCCTGTGGGGGCTTCAGAAGTAGCTTTTTTTTTTTTTTAAATTGGGTTCAGCTCTGATGGGAAAAAGGTGTTGAAGGGAGAAAGGGAGACAAGCGATTTCACAAGAGAAGAAAGTGTTGGTTTTTCATGATGTGAAGGAAAAAGTAAATCCCCAAAGCATGTGGATCAATTAATAACTTATTTCTTTTCAGTTTTTAAGATTTATTTATTTCGCAGCTCTAAGACAACTTACAAACTCCTTATATTCAGTGCAACATATCTGTTTTTAAATTAGTAAAGTGTGAAGAGGGGAGATTAAATTTAGACTCCTAAAACATCAGGGAGAAATGCAATGTATCAAAATGCAGGTCATTAACATCTTGCATAGTGATTAAAGCTAAGCAGTATATATTTAATTCTAACATGCCCAGTGTCCAAAATGAGTAGGAAGAATGAATGGATTTTTAAGATACGTATTGTTATCAAGATGCAAATTACTCAGAAAATCAGACAATTTCCACAGTGTTAAGATCTGGAAAACTATCTTGCCACAGACCCTCCTCATACAGAATATACTGAGATAAAGTAGGGTGCATCTTCAGTAACATCTCAATAATAAATAGTGACTATCTTATGAATTATCATAATGAAACATTTGAGGAATACGTGCATGAGAAAATGGGTGAGCTAAACCTGTAAGTGGCTTGCTTTTCACTCAATGGTTTTTGCATAGTTGTGCATCACAAAGGGATTCCTGTGGACTTCCTTTTTTACCCATTAGAAGCAGACCCGCATGCATTGCACAAGCAAGTTGTTATTCCCTCAAGCAAACTAAGCAATACTTAGCATTGAGGCTAGAAGAGTTTGTGATGCTCAGATATAATACAAAATTAATGCTATTGTGTTTTTTCCTCTTTTTTTTTTAGAATGTTAAATTCAGTACATGTTGGAACATTTATACAATTCTTTAAGGTACCTAGGTCATGACTCTTGTGATCTCTTGATGCTTCTATTAAACTTCAGAACGTTTATGGCTGTCTGCTTGTTCTCACCAAACTGAAGAGCTTCTTACTGTATTTTCTTCTGCAATAACCTACTTTTCTTCTTGTTTCCTTTATATAATTCTTGCATATATGGTGTGTGCTTTATAATGCGAAGAGTAATACTACTCAAGGATTCTAGCTTGAAATGCAGATTCCACTACTTATTAGCAGTTTGACATTAACTACTGGTTTCAGTAGTCGAAACCGTTCTCTGCATTCTCTCTATTGGTGAGTTGTTGTATGGTTTGAAGGAGATATGCTCTGTTGTGTGCACAAGAGCAACGACACAGCAAGTAGTAAATGCCAATCTCACTTATCACAGCTCTTCCACCAGAATGTTTTGTCTAAAGCCTAAATCCAACACTGTCCATCCTTGTTTAAATGTTTAGGGCTTTCCAGAAGTCTAAATGATCTCAACTTTCTTTCCCCTCCCCATCACCCACCATCCCCCCTCCCCTTTATAATGGGTCTCTTCTGCATTCAGCTACACAAGTAGGGTTTCTAGTCTCTAAGAGTTAGTGCTTATTGTTGTCCCTAAAGAAGGAGCCTCCTTCCTGCTCTGGCAAAAAAAAAAAAAAAAAAAAAAAAAAAAGAGTCATCTTCCCTCTGTTTTTCCCTTCCGCTGAGATAATTTCTAATGCCTCTTGGTATAGTAATAATTCTTCCGTCTACAGAGACTATATAAAGATGTGTTGGATTTTTTTGCTTATGTTTATAAGTATTTTGTGGATTTCTCTAGGCCTGAAACCGTCTTAAGCCAGCTCCAAGTCTCAGAATTCCTAGTATATAATGGCATTGCCATTTAACAAAGGAAATTGATAGATGCCATTTAACAAAGGAACATGAACCTAACCCAGAGTCTCCAACCGCCTGGCACGTTTTCTGATATTTATTGAATAGCATTAATCAACTTTCCTTTATTTCTAAGGAGACTGGCTGCTCCAGAGCGTCTTCCTCCTGCCTCCCGCAGTTCAGACCTGGCGTGCTCAGGGTTCTGTGTAGGGATTACTACTAACAGGAGCTAGCACGCTGGCACTTATCAGCAAGAAGGCTTTGCCCACTAAAAACTACAAGACTTGTCAGCAAAGACCCTAGAATAGATTTTCTGCCACAGTCGCCCCATCCTTGTTTGCACTTCCCATTCCAAATCTACCCATGGAGAGGAGACGGCAAAGGTAAAGAGTGCATTCAAAAGTTAGTTGGCCAGTTCTCCTAACCCAGGGGGAACACTACACCAAGCCTTTACATTACCTCCGAAAGGAACAAGATTCACAGTTTTTCAAAACTGTCCTGACTTTCCTCTTTTTTTCTTCCTGCTCATTTTCCGGTTGTCGCTGCCCACTCCCCATCCCCAGCACACTTCCCACCTCTCTACAGGCGACCAGAGAACTGCCTCCAGACTTCTTGTTCTAGGACCTCCGTGATTATCAGCAAAAGATACCGATCAGACATCCTTAGCCATATCATTGAAAGCGCAGGTTAAAAAACGAAAAAGAAAGGAAGAAAAGAAGAGAAAGAAAGCAAAGCAAAATCAGGTTTTAGGACCAAGGGAAGGGAACGTAGCAAGCCACAGCGCAGGATAACCGGGCACACACAGGCACGTAGGCTCCCCTGCATGGAGACAGCAGGTTGTAACCGACTACCCGGAGAACGCGGAGCTCCCGAGACAGGAACTTTTTAAAGGATTGAAATCTGTTGCCTGTTCCACTAGGAATATTGTTTGCAAGGCACAAGGTGTCTTTTGGTAGTGAGTACCCTCTGCGCATGCGCAGGTCCATTCGGGAATTACTGCCCAGCCGCCGACTAAGTTGCATTCCTTGAATCTTCGCAGAAAAGACAATTCTTTCATCAGAGTTAGGAATGTGGACAGTACAAAATCGAGAGAGTTTGAGGCTTCTTTCTTTTCCTGTGATGGTTGCCATGGTTTGTTGTGCACACAGGTGAGCTGCCTTCTCCAATCTCTCTCTTTCTCTCTTTTTTTTCTTGGTGTTTTTCTTTTTCTTTTCTTTTTCCGTGCCTGCTGGATCATGTATTTTGTTGTATGGGGGTAGGTGTGCCTGGATCTTTTCATGTCTGTTTGTGCCCGTTCTGAATTCAGTCCCTACTCCTTCCCTTCAGCTCCAATGAACCCAGCAACATGTCATACGTGAAAGAGACAGTGGATCGACTGCTCAAAGGATATGACATTCGCTTGCGGCCGGACTTTGGAGGTAATGCTTCATGGCTTTTCTTTCAACCTGTAACCCATCCCTAGTTCACCTTTCCCGTCAGAGATAATACCCTCTTCCCCATTTTACCATTTCTGTAAACGTGCAGTACTCCGCCCTGGATACACACACACACACACACACACACACACACACACACACACACACACTCAGGATCCCCAGTCTCAGGTGGGCAAATCCTCAGGCTGCGCTGTCCCTCTCCTTAACCCGACACACCCTCTGCACTGTCACCGCGTCACGCGTGAGCCCACACCTGTTTTCCCAGGCTGTCCCCTACAACAGGAATGGGGGGGGGGTAGGGAGTGAGCCTATTCAGCCCGCAATAAGATCTGCTAAGCCCCCTCTGTCCCCTCAGTCCCCTGCCACTCAAAAACTGTCTTTACTGTGGTCCCCCTCCCCGGCAGGGCCCCCGGTGGACGTCGGGATGCGGATCGACGTCGCCAGCATAGACATGGTCTCGGAAGTGAATATGGTGAGTGGCCTTCCCACTGCTCGGCGGGCCGCCGAGCTTACGCAGATGCGAAATGGACCTCTTCTCTGTCCTCTGCTTTTCATTGGTGATCACCTCAGCCCTGGTCCCCAGGGTCCCACTTCGCGCGTACGCCCCACTCCAGTACACACACTGTCGATCACCCCACAGTTTGTATTTTCGACACACACGGGCTACTGCGGTGTTCCGAAGGAGACGTACTCTGCACTATTTTGGGACGGAAGAGGGACTGTTGCGCCGGAGGATTGGCTGGGGCGGAGTCTGAACCTTACTTTAACCGGGTCTCCCTGCGTGTGTGTGTGGGGGGGGGGGGATGTTCAGGGCACCATCTGCCGGCGGTCAGATGGCGTGCATGGGGTCCCCCAGACCAGGGGTTCGGGTTCGCAGCCACAGGCAGACCAGACACAATCTTCACACCACAGCCTGCTAGCCCCAAGCTACCCAGCTTAGACACCAAGCTAACTGGCAAAGCTCGCAAGTATCCCCTCCCTGCTACAGAATCCAGCACGGTGTTTGGCAGGAGCAACAGGCTGAGATGAACAGTCCAGAATGGCTGACAGCAGAAGTGCCCAAGCTTGCTTCTGGGCATCTTATACCCATGCTAGCGTTCATGCGTTTGTCTTTCTGCAGCTTGCTAGTTTTGAGTTTGACGAGAACCCGTCGAATCATATGGCTTTGATTTATTCTAGTAACCTAGGCAAAAGGAAAAGATCTGATGATTAAAAGGGCTGAGGCAAGGGAGAGGTGAATTAGAAGAGTCACAAATTTTAAGGGATTTATATTTTACCATCCCTCCTTCCCTTTCCTCTCCCTCCCCCTCCCCCCTCCACTCATCTTCACGTACTATCTTTTCTCAAGGACTATTGCGAAAAGTACTGAAATCCTAGCTGCCACTTTTCCATCTACCTTGGGAAGCCGTTTTCTAGTTGTTAGAGTTGAGGGGGAAAGATATGCCTGTTGTTTTTTCTAGAACCCACCATCCGGGGAAGAAACAGATCTACAGGAACAAAGTGTCTTTTTATTCCGCCCTGAAAATAATTGCAGCAACAGAAATTTAAACATACTGAGTAACTGAGACCAGGATCCTTTAGGATTCCTCTGTCTGTAACAGTTATTGAATTGTTGTTCATTTCCCTCATAGAGGGCTATTTTTGTTGTTGTTGTTGTTGTTGTTGTTGTTGTAAAACACTGAGGTTTCAGGGTTTTCCTTTTCACCTTTTAGATTATGTCAGGAAGCAAAATAAATACATTTATAGATCATTTAATGGATGATATAAGTATAAAATGTGTGGTTTCGGGGACACAGTTGTAACTCTCATTGTCTTCAAAGGCTTATTTAAAATACTGTTTCATAATGCCTTAGATTATTTCAGATAATTACCAAGTGTTTTTTCCCTACTACACTAAAACAGAAATCCATTTTTTTTCAAATTTGATAAACAAGTTTTTTTTTTTAACTTGGCAAAGACTTTTAACAGACTAATGTTCTATTTCCATTTGTGCTAATGCCCAACGCAGCTGTTTACAAACATCCAGAGGAGAGTGACCAGATGTGCATAGATCACAACAGTGGCTTAGGACTGTGAATGCAGCCAGATGTATTAGCGTAACATTTAGTGTCAGCCTATATACACTAGGATAACATTTTCCTGTCCAGTCATTGACCTGGCATCTTGAAAACAACTCCACAGATCATTTATATAAAGAGCATTTAGAAATCTCAGAAGGCAAACTGTGCCTCTGGCAGTGTTCTATGTTACTGGAATAGGACACATAGGTTTCTAGAACTACACGGACTCTCAGTGCCAAACACAGACACACATGCATGCACATGCACACACACACGTATCTATATACATATTTTTTACAATCTTTTTAAAAAAAATGACTATATAAGTTTCATGGCCATAATAACCCCTGCAAGAAAAAGTTCCATCCAGTCAGTTGTTGAAATGGATTCATATACAAACTGAGAAGCAGCACAGGCAAAATCCAGGAGCATAGAGCACCTCCTCCTAATTACTGGGTAATACAGTCTGCTTATGTGAACTTGGTGTGTTTTCAAATAGTCACTCAATAGATAGTGCTCTCTGCCCAAAAACTCATTCCCTCTCACCATGATATCAGAGACATAGGAGAATAGTGGCCACGGAAAGCTGGAAAATAAGAAATCTTGCTTTGGGTATTCTTTGCTTTTAATGAGAGTTACCGACAAGACTCGAATTTATATTAGTGTCTCATCTATGGCAAAGTGTTGTAATAAATTAATTACAATGGAAACAACAAACACAATAGAAATGCGGGGCAGGGGAATTCTTTTGGAGGGTTGAGGGAGTTATGTAGGAACAGGGATTGTTAGTCTTACCCTCACCAAGAAGAGAATGCTTTGCAGCATGGTTTGGACACCGTAAGTAGGAATAAAGGTCTTCAGGAAGTAAGACCTAGAGTTTGTTATTAAGAAGTCTTCTGCAATGCAAGGGCACTAACTTACATGTGATTATATGATAGGGAAATTCCTACAAATTTAAGGCAAAATAAGGATCAACAATAAAATAACACAACTAGTACTTAATAAAAATGTACATGCCTTGCTGCAACATTGCTAATTTTCACATTTTTAGTCATTATTGTTATTGCATATTCTATGGCTGGGAACATGGCATGATAATTACACATAAAATTAATGAGTTAGAGAATGAGGGTTCTATTAAATTTTGCCCTTTTGTGCTAATCTAAGTAAAATATGTTTCCAAATTGGTTTTTAATATTACCCAATTTTAAGGTTAATATCGTCTCAGGACTATTTTCTGACTAATGTCATTCAGGACATAAAAATGTGGTTCCAAAATTAAGAAAAGAAAAGGAAATCGTTATGGTAAAGAACATCTACCAGAAACTCTACGATTCGTCAATATATTACTGTGCACAATTGGTATGTTTTTATGCATCAAATTAATTCAAACAAAATGTAAGAAAAACAATTCATTCATTCTGAGCAGTTAATTTAAAACTTTTAGAGAATAATTTTAGTGTATAAAAACATATATATAGTTAAAAGTAAGACTTCTTTATGATATTAATTATGATTGGTTCAAAAAGAAAGTTTTCTTTCTCATTATGGACTTTGTGCCGATGTGATAGCAAACACATAGTCTTATTGTTTTCTAAAGTCTTATATTGAAAATTATCTACCACGGTTTCTATTTATTGTACATTAAACACTTCAAGTCTTTTAATTTTACAGTTTCTGTGAAGCTCTACACACACACACACACACATTAACAGGCTAGTGACTGAGCAAAAGACAGGTAGAATGAAGGGAGGTAATGGCTCCTACCAATTAGTTGTAAAATAACCCTCACCATTTGCTCAGTAGAAGAGGTAGTAGCAGACAGAAGTTCCCTCTTCAAGTAGTATATTGGAAAAAACATGATACAGACTGTAAACAGCAAAAGAGCTAAGCTTTCCTGCTCAGATGTCCACAACAAGCTGTCCCTTCTCAGGCAAGAGTCAGATGCAATAATCAAGGAGCAATTTCAAATACAGTTTTCTTTCCTCAAGCTAAAGTCACGATGGTCTAAGTGTCCCCATGCAGAAGACTATACATATAGAGCGCCGAATCAGACTAAGACATAGTACAAGCCATTTCTAGTGAAAGGTAGCCTCGCTCCTGTCTTCACTGTTCTGCAAGTGCAGAGGTGAATGCTCTTATAGGAGTCACAAATAGCTTCAGCAATGACAAGAATGAAAAAGACACAATTGTATAAATAATGCACAGAACAAATTAAACTGAACAGATATCCATTTATATTCCATCTTGTTGCTATTTTAGCATTAGATTCCATTGGACGTTGATGCATCATCCAGCTATGTTTAATTGCCATCACCATGGTGACTCAGGAGAAAAGTCACCTGTCAGAATTTCTCTCTGCAATAACCCTTCTTCCTCTATGGCCTAACTTCTTCATCTTAAAGGCATATCTCAATTACCCTGAGGCTCACAAGAGCAAATTTTGAATCTGACCTTTGGGATGGGGGTCTGATAATTTTTATTTCTCCTGAAAAATGCCAATTTCTGGTGCATAGAAAGTACTTCAAATATCAAAATTGAAGAACATTATTCTAATGTTATCTTTAAAAATGAGCTCATTTTCCTTGTGATTTTTCTCAATGAGTAACAATATATCAAAAATTTCACGTTAAGTTTGAAGTTACTTTCTGGTTAGTCTAATAGGTAGCTGTACTCAGAGGGAAGATTAATTCTATAATTAAAGATAAATAAGATTCAAAGACAAGAAGAGCCAAGACGATGTGGTCCAGTGGAAACTGAAGTCTTCCTCTATCAGTACTTGTTAGTCAGCAAGCGCTAAGTGGGGACAAAAATTGTCAAGTATAATAGTATGTATCAATATCAAAAATCTTGAGCTAAGCACATACCTATATCATCCTTTCTCCTTACAAAACACACTTTATGTTATATTATGTGTCAAGCATATTACAGCATCATCTTTTTCCTTACAGAGTACCCTTTTCTTTATGCTTCACAGTGTAGAATCCTGAGGCTCTTTTCCCCAAATAGCTAGCAATAGCTGTTAAAAAAAATAGCTCAAATATATTCTTGCTGCTGCCAATTAATTCTCTGGCATTTTAATAGAATTTCCTTTGGAAAGGGAGCAGATAGGTCAGTACCAATTAAAACTTGGAGCACACACCAGCAGATAAATAGATAAGCATCCATTTCTCTTACATGAAAACTCACCAGGCCCCCCTTCAGGTTTAACAATAAAATGCACTATCTGAGAAAGAAACTGCTTTGTCTTTCTGTTTGAAGATAACAGGTATTTTTATGCTTTTAATCTCGTTAAAACAAGACTATATATATGTGTATATATATATATATATACATATATTAAAATTGGAATTCACATATGAAAGCCAGTGATTGTAGGACAATATTGGGCATGAACATATGCAACGTTGTG